ATTCCCCCGCCCCCGATTTATTGTATTTATTAGAATTGTATTTATAAATTGTTGTTAACCTCCCTGAGCCTCATTGGGGGACGGTGGTGTATAAATCAAGCGAATATTGTGTGTGTTTCTCTGTGGGATGGGTGCCAAAAAAATGGGGTTGGGAAATTCCTGGAGATTTGGGGGTGTGAAGCCTGCGGAGGGTGGGGTTTGGGGAGGGGAGAAAGCTCAGTGGGTAGGATGCCCTAGAGACCCCCCCTCCAAAGCAGCTGTTTTCTCCGGGGGGGGGGACAGGATCGCTGTCATTCTATGAGATCTCCAGGCCCCACCTGGAGACTGGCAACCCCTAGGCTGCTGACATGCAGAGGGAAACTGGGGCCAGTCTCTCCGAGAGCCAGTTTGGTGTCGGGGTTAAGTGCGCAGACTCTAATCTGGGAGAACCGGGTTTGATTCCCCACTCCTCCTCCACTTGCACCTGCTGGATGACCTTGGGCGAGCCGTAGTTCTGTCAGGGCTGTTCTCTCACGAGCAGTCCTCGAGAGAGCTCTCTCAGCCCCACCTACCTCTGTTGTGGGGAGGGGAAGGGGAAGGAGATTGTAAGCCGCTCTGAGACTCCGAGTGAAGGGCCGGGGGTATAAATCCAATCTCTTCTTCCTCTTCTCTTCCCTGGGGAACACAAAAACCAGACCCTCCGCAGCACTGATGGCAACCCCCCCCCCCCAGCAGCTTTCTTGCTGAAAGTCTCCCCTGCTTCACAGGTTGTCAGAGAAGGAGGGCCTACACTACAGGGCTGGTTCTCTGGCTGGATGACCCGAGTGACTGTCGAGGCGGCACAAGAACGAGGCACTGCAACAGGGGCTCGGCTCCCTCCAGCCGGGTTGCCAACCACCAGGTGCGGCCTGGAGCTCCCCCGGAATGACAGCTGTTTCCCAGACTACAGGGGTCAGTTCCCGTATTCAAAAAATGCAGCTTCGTTCTGTGGCGCCACATCCCCGCTGACCTTCCTCTCCTCCTGAAACCCCCACATCCTCAAGCTTCACCCCCCCCATACAGACACACATCTTCAGGAATCCCCCCACCCTGAGCTGGCAAAAAAGCAGCACGAGAGGGGAGGTGAGTAGAGCAGAGCCCCCTGCGGGGCTGTCTTGCGCCGGGGTGATCAGATCTGGTGCCCCATCTCTAGCAGGGTGAGTGGGTCATAAAAACATAAGAACATCAGAGAAGCCCGTGTGGGATCAGGCCAGTGGCCCCTCTAGACCAACACTCTGGGCCACACGGTGGCCAAAAATACCAGGGGGCATCAGGAGGTCCACCAGGGGGGCCAGGACACCAGAAGCCCCTCCCACTCTTGCCTCCCCCCACAGCACCAAGAAGACAGAGCATCACTTTCCCAAGACCGAGAGTCCCTATCTATTTTTTTGTTGTTCAGTCGCACAGTCGAGTCCGACTCTTCACGACCCCATGGACCAGATCATGCCAGGCCTTCTGGTCTTCCGCCGTCCTCTGAAGTTGACTCAATTTCATGTTCATTGCATCGATGACACTGTCTGTACCTTGTGGCTAATAGCCACTGATGGACCTCTGCTCCATATGCTTATCTAATTCCCTTTTGAAGCCATCCATGCTTGTAGCCGCCACCACTTCCTGTGGCAGTGAATTCCATGTGTGAATCACTCTTTGGGTGAAGAAGGACTTCCTTATATCCGTTCTAACCTGACTGCTCAGCATTTTCATGGAGTGCCCACGAGTTCTTGTATCGTGAGAAAGGGAGAAAAGTACCTCTTTCTCGACCTGCTCTTTCCCATGCATAATCTCATAAACCTCGATCATGTCACCCCCTTAGCCGTCGTTTCTCCAAGCTAAGGAACTCCAAGCGCTTTAACCTTTCCTCATAGGGAAAGTGTTCCAACCCTTTTATCATCCTACTTGCCCTTTTCTGCACTTTCCCCAATGCTATAATATCCTTTCTGCGGTCTGGTGACCAGAACTGTACACAGTACCGAAAAATGAGGTCGCACCATCGACCTCAACAGCCCCCCAGGAGCAAATAGCGCCATCCACTGCCATGCCGGAGAAAGAAAAGTGCCTGGAGCGCCTTCCTCTCTGCCCAACTCCCCTCCGGGCCACACACTCTGGGGCGTGTCTCTCTTGGCCGTGCTCCAGTGTGCTAGTCTGGGCTTTCTCCTCTGTCCCCGCGGATCTTCGGACGGCCTCACAATGCAGAAGGGAGTGGAGGGAAGCCGGGAAAGAACAACAGGGCTGGGTGACTCAGGGCCTCCACGCCGCTGGCTCTCGCCCCGTCACCGGACTTTCCGTCCTGACCAGGTTCTTCCCGGACCGGCTGAGATCACCTGATCGGCAAACACCCTGCGAGCGTGTTGGAAGGAAGCAAACCCAGCAGGTCTGGCGGCGACTTTGGGCTGGGAGCGATCGTTCGGGCCACGTTCACTGCTTGGGATGTCCCAGATCTGTGTCATCTGGGTCCCACTTGGAGGTGAGAAGAGGCACTCAGCACATGGCCGGACGCTCCTCCCCAACCATCCAGTAACTGCAGAGAAAACATTTCCAACAGGGGAATGCTGGGTCCCTCACACAGGAGACGTCTCTGTTGGGCTGTGTTCCCTCTAAGCTGAGTCAGTGTGAGCTAGTTCACAGTTTTTTTAGCCTCCGGCTCACACATTTTTATCTCACCTCAGGAAGGATGGCTCCAGACAGGGCCGGCTCTTTCACTAGGCCAACTAGGGCGACGGGCTAGGGCGCAGATCTCCCAGGGGCGCAGCGAGGGCCCTGCCGCCGCCACCCACCCTCCCCCAGCATGGCTTTCTGGGCGCCCGCTCCACAGGGTGCCCCTTCCCGCCGGCTCGCTTTGCCTCACGCCCCGCCTCCTCCGTCCTGCTCAGCGTGCCCCTTCCCACCAACTGGCTTCGCCTCGCACCTCCTGAGTCAGTCGATTGTGCAGACTCCCTCCGTGTCGTCTGCCTGGAGCCCAGGTGAGAAAGGCGGACGAGAAATGGCATCACGCCATAAAATGGAAACCAATCTTGCATTTCAGGGGCAGGCTCGCTTAGGCACCTCCCTGCTGCCGAAGGACTTGGGGCTGGACCGCCGGGCGCCTTCTCTGGGCTGGAGCCTGGGAAACCAAGTTAATGTATGCAGGAGCCAAATCACTCGCTCACAGCTTCAATCCCAGTAGCTCACAAAGCAGAATTTTTGCTCACAAGACTCCACAGCTTAGAGGGAGCTTTGGTGCCCAGTACCTTTGAAATGGGAGAGGCCCTTCTTCAGTCGGTGTTTAAAGTGTCGGACTAGGACCTGGGAGAGCCAGGTTCGAATCCCCCCACTGGTGCCATGGAAGCTCGCCGGGGGACCTTGGGGCCAGTCACGCTCTCTCAGCCTAACCTACCTCACAGGGTTGTTGTGAGGATAAAAATGGAGGAGAGGAGGTGAGGATAAAAACGGCGGAGAGGAGAATGACGTAAGCTGCTTTGTGCAAGATATAAATAAAGTAAAAGAAATGTTCTCAACCCCCCTCCTCACATGGCTGTTTTCTCCCCGCTTTGCTCTTGTGCTCCCTTCCACCTGCCAGAAAAGGCCGGGGGAGGAAGAAGGGGAGAAAACTGGGCAGCCCCAGCCCAGCGGGACACATTCAGCAAAGGAGTTCCCGGGTTCAGCGAATGCACCTGCAGCGCCTTAAAGACTCAGAGCTAAATGTGCTGGAAGCCAGCTAATGCCAGAAGAACTTTTTGTTCTAACCCACCGGGTTTCACGGTGTTCTTAAAGAAATACCCAAAGGGGACGACACCCAACTCTGCTCTTGGGAGTCCTTGGCCCATCCCCCGAGTGACATTTGGCTGGGAGGGGAGGAAGCAAAGGAGAACGCTGTGGCTCAGACGAGAATGGAATTTATTATCAGCGCCCTTCCCAAGATTGTTCCTCTTATGACATCCTGGTCTTGGAAAGAGCAAGCCCGCACATGGTCACAGATCCAGAGGAGTCCACCGTGTGAGTCTGTCGCTGCAAAATAGCAAAAAGCCCAGCAGCACCTCTAAGACTCACAAACTTTATGGTAGCATCAGCTATTCAGGAAACACAGCTCTCTTCGTCAGGTGCGTGGAAGGCAGGAAGAAACTGGCCAGAGATATATGAAGAAGAAGAAGAAGAGATTGAATTCATCCCCCGCCCTTCACTACCCAAAGGTCTCTCAGAGCGGCTTACAAACTCCTTCCCCTGCCCCTCCCCACAACAGACACCCTGGGAGGCAGGTGGGGCTGAGAGAGCTCTTGACAGGAACTGCTCTTTTTTCAAGGACAGCTCTTATCAGAACTACGGCTTGCCAGAGGGAATCCAGCCAGGTGCACGTGGAGGAGGAGTGGGGAATCAAACCCGGTTCTTCCAGATTAGAGTCCGCGCACTTAACCACTACACCAAACTGGCTCTCCATATGGGTGGAAAGGGGAGGGGGAGCAGCTGCAAAAGTCATGAAAAAGGCCGAATGAGCATTCAGCCTTTTTCACGACTTTGGCAACTGCTTTGCATTTACACGGCACTTCCTGCATCCTCTTCCCCCTCCCCTTAACCATCTATATATCTCCGGCCAGTTTCTTCATAACCGCCAAGCACCTGACGAAGAGAGCTGTTTCTCAAATCGCTTATGCTGCAATAAAATTTGTTAGTCTTAAAGGTGCTACTGGGCAGGGAGGTGACGGATGCTACGGGACGGGGAGGACCGAAGGACACGGGACAGGAACCCCCCTAGACTTTTCCTCTCGGCCTGTATTCTTCTTCAAATGTAAGCAGCCGGAAATGGGGCATTAGGCGAGGGTGGGCTGAAACTGTCTTCCTTCATCTCCAGAGCTGTTTCCCCACCCGTGTGGGGGAGAATACGGGGACCACAAATAGGAAGCAAAGCAGATGTCTGTGTGTATGGGGGGGGGGAGTTTTATGCAGGCAAATGGAAGGGGTTCCACAGCCCCTCCCATGGCTGCTTTTCGTTACAAACTACAGTGGCCCAGTTCGCAGACGGCCTCCCCCCCCCCCGTGGCTGGAGGTTCGGGAAGAAAAGGCTCCCTCGGGGTAAGGAGGAACCCCACTGCAGGGCCAGAAAAGCACCAAGTGTCCCTGGCGGTGGGCGGCCCCGGAAAGGACTCCTCTGAAATGCTGCTGGATTCGAGTCCAGGAACACCCTCCTGACTAAGGAGTTTCAGGGCGTCAGGTTTCGAGAGGCCACGCTCCCTCCGTCAGCCACACGAGTAGAGCAGAGATGGAGATCTTGGGAGTCCTTTTATCCTAGGGATGCCAGGCTCCAGGAGGTGACTGGAGACCCCCCCAGAATTACAACTGGTCTCCAGGACAAAGTGTGCGTTCAGTGGCACCTTTAAGACCCACAAAGTTTAATTCTGGGGATAACCTTTTGCGTGCGTGCCCACAAAAGCTTATCCCCAGAATTAAACTTTGTGGGTCTTAAAGGTGTGCATGCAGACGAAAGCTTATCCCCAGGCTAACCAAACCCAAGGCCTGGTCCTTTGGGGGAATCCGCCCGGTTTCTGAGTGTGGACAACCAGGATTAGCAGTTGTGTGTATCAGGAGAGTCTGAAGCATCTTTTGAGGGGGGGATCTTTGTGGTATCGTGTTTCTGGAGAACAGGACGGCGGGCAGCTGAGCAAGACTGTAAGTAGAGTTGCCAAACTCCAGCTGGGGACTGGAGTTCTCATGGAGGTGCAACCAGTGTTCCCTCTAAGCTGAGTGAGTGTGAGCTAGCTCAGTTTTTTTAGCTCCCGGCTCACGCATTTTTGTCTCCGCTCGGGAAGGATGTAGCTCCAGAGCAAACTAATTTACGCAGTAGCCAAATCGCTGGCTCACAACTTTTAATGCCAGTCGCTCACAAAGTAGGATTTTTGCTCACGAGACTCCACAGCTTAGAGGGAGCACTGATGGTGATGATGATATTGATTATAAGCAGTGTTCCCTCTAAGCTGAGTTAGTGTGAGCTAACTCACAGATTTTTAGCCTCTGGCTCATACATTTCTGTCTTCGCTCAGGAAGGATGGGGCTCCAGAGCAAACTCATTGATGCAGCAGCCAAATCGCTGGCTCACAACTTGAATGCCAGTCGCTCACAAAGTAGAATTTTTGCTCACGAGACTCCACAGCTTAGAGGGCGCGTTGGTTGCAACTGAGCTCCAGACGACAGAGATCAAGTTCCCCTGGAGAAAATGGCTCCTTTGGAGGGTGGACTCCGTGGCTTTGTACCCTGCTGGGGCTCTTTCTCTCTAGGGTTGCCGGGTCCCCCCCCCCTGTATGGAGGAAGTCCTCCCTAGCATCCCAGTCTCACGGAACCCCCTCCCTCCTCAAGTTACACCTTCCCTGGGCCCTGCCCCCCAAATCTCCAGAAACTCCCACGCTGGAGTTGGCAACCCTGTTGGTGTTCCCTCACGGGCAGTGTTCGAGGCAGCTGCAGGTCACCTTCTGCACAGCCCCGCTGAGCTTTGTGACGTTGGCCAGAGAGAGGACCGGGCCCCGAGGGAGGCCGTTCCCGGTGGCGATGCCCGAGACCTCCCCCGGCGACAGCACCCGGTCCCACATGGCCCAACCCGCCAGGTGCCCCACGAAAGCCTCCGAGGGCTCAAACCCCCCACCGAGCGTGTCCTGCTCTTGGCCCAGGACGAGGGACCCTCCTGCGGGGACCTCGTAGCCCTTCTGGAACCTGGAGCCCATGGAAGCCAGCCTCCTGTCCACGTAGAACCAGTACCGGCCCTGGATCGAGGACCAGATGACGCACAGGTGGTGCCACCGGCCGTCCAGGAAACGCCCCACCGGCAGCTCCCGGAAGGCCGGGTCCCCGATGACAAAGTGGATGGCGTTCCGGGGTGCCGCGTCCCGGCCGTGCAGCACCAGCTTGTTGTCGTTGTCCTCGGTGGCGTAGGACAGGATCGTGCCCAGGTAGCGGGCGCTGGTCCTCACCCAGCTGCAGAGGCTGAGTTCCAGCAGGGCGGTGTGGAAGCTCGGCCTGAAGGCGGCAAAGTTCTCCGTGGAAGCGTTGGGGAAAACCAGCATGGTGCCCACGTTGCAGACTGCCAGGGACAAAGAGAGAGAGAGAGGTCAGGCCCAGGGGTCGCCCCCCCCCGGTCCAAAACAGTCCAGTGGCACCTTTAAGACCAAGCTTTATTCAGGTACAAAGCTCTCCCTCCTCTGTGAGGGCGGATCTGCACGTCCCCCCCCCCAATAGCTAGCAGTCCAAAACAGTCCAGTGACACCTTTAAGACCTTTAAGTTTTATTCAGGTTCAAGCTCTCCCTCCTCTGTGAGGGCAGATCTGCACGTTTCCCACTGCCCCTAAGCTACACATATCCAAAACAGTCCAGTGGCACCTTTAAGACCTTTAAGTTTTATTCAGGTTCAAGCTCTCCCTCCTCTGCGAGGACAGATCTGCACATTTCCCCCCCCCCCCAATAGCTAGCAATCCAAAACAGTCCAGTGGAGCCTGAGCGGTGAGTGTTGCCTTCTGACACACTTCCGGTGATGTCAGGGGGTGTGGCATATGCAAATGAGTTGTGCTAATTAGTTATGCTAATGAGCTCCTGCACCTCTTTTTCTGCGAAATGACCCCTGGTCAGGCCCCACATTGGATGAGCAGGAGTCACAGGGCCGGACTGGGAGCCAGAGACCTCCCTCATCCACATGGTTTCCCATTCAGCCCATCAAGTGTAAAGCATTTCTGCACTGGCAGCTTGCTCTAGAGAATCTGAGGAATTGAGCCGTAAGGGTTGACTTCGCAGTTGCACGCATTCCCTTTGCACTGTTTCCCCCCCCCTCCAGCTTATTTATTTGTGTATTCTGTATGCATTCTGCACCTATACACAAAACCCGCATATTTTTGAGCTAACTGGGTGCTTTGACTAAGATGAAGAGAAAGGCAGACATCTTTCAAAACTTTTAACTGCAGACCAGTGTTCCCTCTAAGCTGAGTTAGTGTGAGCCAGCTCACAGTTTTTTAGCCTTTGGCTCACACCTTTTTGTCTTAGCTCAGGGAGGATGGCTCCAGAGCAAACTAATTTATGCAGTAGCCAAATCGCTCACTCACAACTTTAATGCCAGTAGCTCACAAAGCAGGATTCTTGCTCACAAGACTCCACAGCTTAGAGGGAACATTGCTGCAGAGCCAACCCCTCCCTCCCTCCCTGATTCTGCAAAAAGAAAGGGAAGGGAGGGGGGAAATCCAGGCCCACACAGGCAAGACGGATGCATTTGGGAGCCCTGGTCCTTTATATTTACTGATTCGTTCTTGTGCTCTCTCTGGCTTTTTAAATGTTTGCCTGAGCGGGAGGACACGCCCTCTTCTGTCTTTGGAGGAGGAGGGAGGGAAAACAGAAGGGGGAGGGGGCGTCAACCCTAAAGAGAGAGAGATGGAAACAGGGGAGGGGAGCGGGCAGCACTTAAATACCCGCAGAAACAATTCTACTTTAGCGAGGATTAGCAATTTGAAAGCAAATGAGAACGAAGAATCGCAGCAAAAGGAGTTTGGTTAGCTGCGGGGCGACAGTGTGCAGGAAGCGGTCTGAATGCAGATTCCAGTGAAACGAATGCAGAAACAAGAGAAAGCCCTGACACAAACTGGGAGTGAAGAAGGAAAGGGGGGGGGGGGGAATGCAGAACGGAAGAGTAGGATGCGCTCTGAAACCGAGGCAAAGTACGGGGGCAGAAAGGGCCCATGTTTCAGTGACAGAGTTTCAGGAGAAAAGCTACATTCGGTCCCAGGAGAACCTGAGAGACCAGGAAGAGTTTCGGGGTAAAAGTTTTTGAGAGTCGAAGCTCCCTCCGTTAGAAACGTCGCATCTGACCGAGCCCGGACTCCCGAAATTGTAGACCCTGGAAATCTCGTTGGTCTCTAAGGTGTTACTGGACTCGAAACTAACAGTGGGGGAAATCAACTGCGGCCTCCTTCCCCTTCCCCCTCCGCACAACAGACACCCCCTGTGAGGCAGGTGGGGGCCGAGAGAGCTCTCTCGAGGACTGCTCCTGAGAGAACAGCTCTGAGAGAACTTGCGACTGACCCAAGGTCACACCAGCAGCTGCATGTGGAGGAGTGGAGGATCGAGGGGAAGCACCTGGCCCTCGGGAGCCCCAGTTCCGCTAGACCTACTTGTTCCTGGGGGACGAGACACTTGGGGCACCTCCCGCTCTTCTTCTTCGGAGGCCTTGTCCATGACCGGCCTCTCCTGCCGGAGGCCTTGGGGCTCCGACTGAGGGGGCGCCTCCTCCTCCTCCGTCTCCTCCTGCGGGGATGGCTCCTGGCCTGGCAGCGATCCGTTCTGAGCCCGGGCCTCCAGACGGCGGTGCTCCAGCTGCAGCAGCTTCTTCCTCTGCCGGTGCTTGGCCCGCAGCTTCTTCAGGGTCAGGCCCTGCCCGGCTGCCGCCTCCGGCTCCTTCTCCGCGGGGCTCCGGTTCAGCAGGGGGGCGGCCGCCAGGGCGCTGGGCAAGAGGACTTCGTTGTGCTCAGGGGGAGCCTTCACCAGCTGCTCCAGTTCGGCCAGCTTGGCTCCCTGGTTCTTCAGGGCGTCCTGCAAGCTTTCCAGCACCTTCCGCTGGCTTCCCTGGCTGGCCTGCAGGGCTCGGGTGTCCTCCCGGCGCCTGGCGAGTTCTCGGGTCAGGTTGGACAGGAGGGCATCCTGTGCCTCCCGCTCTGCCGCGCCCTGCCGCTCTCGCTCCTGCCAGGCGTCCTCCAGGGCCTGCACCCGCAAGGCCGCCTTCCTGGTTTTGTTCTGCAGCTTCTTCGCCCCGCTCTTCAGGTCCCGCAGCTCCTCGTGCAGGGCTCCGTGCGTCACGTTGGCGGCGGACTCCAGGGCCTCGTGTTTCGACTCCAGGCGCCTGAAGCTGGCATCGACGTTGTAGGACACGTTGTAATTGGCCGCAATCTCCTGGAGGCGCACCAGGGTGACTTCTTGGAACCGGCGGAACTGGGGAAGGAAGGAAGGCAACGTTAGGCCTCGAACGAACTCTTGCAGGTGGCGTTTGGTGTGGGGACGGGCGTTGGTCAGGAGGCATTGCACACGGCCTGCCCCTTGCTCTCTGGTAATGGAATAAGAGCCTGTTTTCACTTGCCAGGGGTCGTTTTGTAGAAAAAGAGGTGCAGGAGCTCATTAGCATAGCTTATTAGCACAACTCATTTGCATATGCCACACCCCCTGACATCACCGGAAGTGTGTCAGAGGCAACACCCACCGCTCAGGCTCCACTGGACTGTGTTGGATTGCTAGCTATTGGGGGGGGGGACGTGCAGATCTGTCCTTGCAGAGGAGGGAGAGCTGGTACCTGAATAAAACTTGGTCTTAAAGGTGCCACTGGACTGTTTTGGGCGGGGGGGGGGGGGGCCGCTCTGCAGCTTACCTGGCTGCTTCTTGCTCTGACTGAGGGCTGCTGGGAGCAGGGGGCGGGGCTTGTTGCATGTGCCCGCCCCCTGGGCTCTTTACTGCCGGAGCTCCGCTCCTGTGCGCTCCTGCAGGAAATGACCCCTGCTTGTGACACCTCAAAGTGCCTTGGAGTCCTCCTGGCTACCTGAGAGTAAAGGGGAGGAGGGGATCGAGAAATCAAGTTGTTGTGGCTGATATGGGCTTTGGCTGCCCTGATTCACTTGGGAAAGCGCTCCAAGACCTAGAAGCAAAAAGCATCATAAGAACACCAGAAGAGCCCTGCTGGATCAGACCAGTGAGGGTCCATCTAGCCCAGCCTCCCGTCTCACACAGTGGCCAGCCAGTTCCTCTGGAGGGCCAACAATGGGGCAGGGAGGCCGAGGCCTTCCCCTGAGAAGAACCTCAGAAGAGCCCTGCTGGATCAGACCAGTGAGGGTCCATCTAGCCCAGCCTCCCGTCTCACACAGTGGCCAGCCAGTTCCTCTGGAGGGCCAACAATGGGGCAGGGAGGCCGAGGCCTTCCCCTGAGAAGAACCTCAGAAGAGCCCTGCTGGATCAGACCAGTGAGGGTCCATCTAGCCCAGCCTCCCGTCTCACACAGTGGCCAGCCAGTTCCTCTGGAGGGCCAACAATGGGGCAGGGAGGCCGAGGCCTTCCCCTGAGAAGAACCTCAGAAGAGCCCTGCTGGATCAGACCAGTGAGGGTCCATCTAGCCCAGCCTCCCGTCTCACACAGTGGCCAGCCAGTTCCTCTGGAGGGCCAACAATGGGGCAGGGAGGCCGAGGCCTTCCCCTGAGAAGAACCTCAGAAGAGCCCTGTTGAACCAGACCAATGAGAGTCCATCTACTCCAGCATCTCCTCACACGGAGGCCAAGAAGTTCCTCTGGAAGGCCAACAACAGGGCATAGAAGCCAAGGCCACCCCCTGGCACTGGGATTCAGAGGTCGACTGCCTCTGAATGTGGAGGTTCCCTTCAGTCACCATGGCTCGTAGCCACTTAGAGACCTCTCCTCCATGAAACTGCCTAATCCCCTTTGGAGCCCTGCCTTGGCGGCATTCTGGCACCGTTCCTTCCACATGACCTACAGAGCTCACTCGCTTGGAAAAAGAGTGGAACAGAAGAGGGGAAGACCTGAAAACTGGATGATGATAGGAAGATGGTACTGTGTCCGATGTGACCCAAAAAAACACTTCCGTTTGGGTGCCAACGGCTTTAGGCTACCCAGACCATTCATGCTCGAGGTGCGATTTCAAGAGGGAATTCCCCAGATCCTTGGTAACATCCTTTGGCCATCGTGTGGCCATTTTGGGGCTGAAAAGGAAGGCAAGAGCATTTTAACCCAGTCACTTACTGTCAATGGGATAGCTGGACGACCATCTTTCGGGTATGTTGCAGGGCTCTCTTTCGGCTCTGCTCCTGCAGAGTGCGGGGGGTTGGACTAGATGACCTGCAAGGTCCCTTCCAACTCTAAGATTCTATGGTTCTATGATACAAACTTTGGAAAGTGGGGGGGGGCGCTATGTTTCTCCACCAACCTCGTTGGAGCTCATAAGTTAGCCCGACTATATTTAGGAAGACGTTTGTTATTGAACGGGACTCGAACTATTTATAGCGTTAACTGGAAATCGTGCCTGGGTATAATTAGGAAAACCAACATACAACAAGTACCGTGCACAGATGATTATAACATAGCATATATGTTTTTTGAAAAATATTTTTACAATAATTTCTTCATATATAATTAATCATCTTAATCACAATTCACAATATAAGAGATATCAAAAATATCAAATATCATCTCCAAGAATCTCAAAAGCTATTGTACAACCTTATAATTAACTAGAAATAAGGCCCGTTGTGGAAATAAATACAACGGGATCTAGAAAGAGGCTCTGGGAGAGTGCTCTGGCTTTGGGCAAACAGTGTCAGTCTGCTTTTAAAACATGAACCTGGGACCTGCACACCACCAGAATACAGCAGGTTCCATATGTAACTGACATTCCAACTGCCTTGCGGGGGGGGGGGAGTTTGAGGTGTGGAATGGAGTGAAGTCCAATCAGCTTCCATATGCAAAAGACCAGGTTGTTGCAGCAGTTGTGGTGTGGGCAGGACCCGGGCTTTGCCTTCTGATTGGTGGCGATATATGCTGAGGAGCAGTGCCATCAGCCATACACTAAGGGAGTGCATTTTAGAATTAGAACTTTGGCACCCACTATTCAATTATATATAAGGAGAGATAATAGTCCTCCTCTGTTAAATAAAAGTTTCAAAAGGGAGGACTCCTTAAAGTCTCCTTATAACATATAACATATAATTTCTACATAATTATATATGTAGAAATTATTGTAACAATATTTTTCAAAATATATAAAACTATTTATGATATGCTATAATCATCTGTGCACAGTACTTGTTGTATGTCGGTTTTCCTACTTACCGTGGGTCCTTGTTTGGTTTTGGGTATGTTGTTGTTCAGTCGCACAGTCGAGCCTGACTCTTCACGACCCCATGGACCAGATCACGCCAGGCCTTCTGGTCTTCCGCCATCCGTTTTGGGTATAATTAGGGCCAATCTGAATGTCACGTGAGAATTCCCTCACTGGAACTCCCGATATGTTTTCTGGCTCAACAACAACAACAACCTACCCCCCACCCCAGCCAAGCCAGCCTGTTTCCCAGACTAACAACCAAGGCTCCCTCTAAGCTGTGGAGTCTTGTGGGCAAAAATTCTACTTTGTGAGCTCCTGGCATTAAAGTTCTGAGTGAGCCATTTGGCTACTCCATAAATTAGTTTGCTCTGGAGCCCCCTCCTTCCGGAGCGAAGACAACAATGTGTGAGCTGGAGGCTAAAAAACTGTGAGCTAGCTCACACTAACTCAGCTTAGAGGGAACACTGCTAACAAACCCCCCCCCCCCAAAAAATGCTTTTAGACTCAGTAGAGAAAATCTAATCTGTCTGTCTGTTTCCCCCCTACTTGGGTTAAAAGCAGCCTTGATGGGGGGGTCGGGACAGTTTTGATCAGAGAACAGCATGCCCACCCCCATCCTCGGCACTGCACCCCCCCATCCAGATCAATCCCCCGGCTGTTAATAGGGTTGCCAGCCTCCAGGTGGGGCCTGGAGATCTCCCATTTTTGCAGCTGAGAGAAAATGGCTGCTCTGAAGGGTGGACTCCGTGGCATTGTACCCTGCTGACGCCCCTCCCCTCCCCAAGCTCCGCCCTCTCCTGGCTCCACCCCCAAAGTCTCCAGGTATTTTCCAACCCAGACCCAGCAACCCTAGCTGTTTAGGGTCAGGTTACACCCAGGGGTCATTTCCTGCAGGAGCGCACGTGAGCGGAGCTCCGGCAGTAAAGAGCCCAGGGGGCGGGCACATGCAACAAGCCCCACCCCCTGCTCCCAGCAGCCCTCAGTCAGAGCAAGAAGCAGCCAGGTAAGTTGCAGAGCCCCCCCTCGGCCCCTGGTCCAAAGCAGTCCAGTGGCACCTTTAAGACCAAGTTTTATTCAGGTACAGGCTCTCCCTTCTCTGCAAGGTACTTCTCCCCGCCCCCCCCCCCCCCCCAATAGCTAGCAATCCAAAACAGTCCAGTGGAGCCTGAGCGGTGGGTGTTGCCTTCTGACACAACTCCAGCGTTGTCAGGGGGTGTGGCATATGCAAATGAGTCACGCTAATGAGCTCCTGCACCTCTTTTTCTACGAAATGACCCCTGGTTACACCTATTCTTTGTACTCCCAACATAACGAGCGTGTTAACTCTGGCAAGTTACCCAGCATGATTCATGTACTTCTTTGGTTACTTCCTGATAATAAATATTTTAATGATTATTTCTCAGTCGGGGGGGGGTTATATTGGGAAGTGACTTTCGTGGAAGTCGGTGAAGCGGCTTGTGATACGTTAGATGCCTGGCACCAAGAAAGTTTATAAAGGGACTCCTGCCCCCGCTACCTTGTTGTGTGTTCGGGACGCCAGCCTCCAGGTGGGGCCTGGGGATCCCCTGGAATTACAGCTCAGCCCCAGACGACAGAGATTGGTTCCCCCTGGAGAAAACGGATGCTTTGGAGGGTGGACTCTCTGTGGCCTTGTACCCCACTGAGGTGGTCCCTGTCCCCCCCCCGGGCCCCATCCCCAAATCTCCAGGAGTTGGTTCCCCAACCTAGATCTGGCAGGCCCCCCTCCATGCCCTGCCAGTGACCGGGGGGGGGGGAAGGAACTGGCGACCCTATAAGTGCCGTAAAGTCACAGCTGAGTCAAGGCAACCCCAGCGAGGGGCTTTCAAGGCAAGTGAGAAGCAGAGGTGGTTGGCCATGGCCTTCCTCTGCAGAGCCTTCCTTGGTCACCTACAGCTGGTGTCCCTGGCAGTGTTTCCCCCCAGCCCAGTTTGAGAAACACACTCAGCAGTTCTGTAGAGAGGAAATATTGATTAATTAATAAAGGAGGAGTACAGATCTCAAGAAGAAGAAGAAGAAGAAGAAGAAGAAGAAGAAGAAGAAGAAGAGATTGGATTTATACCCCATGGCCCTTCACTACCCA